GGAATCTCCGTCTCATTTTGAATTTCACCAGCTCTGGAAAACAAAGCCCTGAGCCCAAAATCAGCAGGAGGGAGGGGCATGGATTGCAAAATGCCCATTGCTTGGGAATTCCTGCCTGGCTTAAGGAATGCTTTGTGTTTTGGGAGAGAATTGTGCTGCAGGGGAAAAGCAGGTGTTGTTTTACACTAAAAAAGGAGAGATTTAGATTGGATTTCAGGAAGAAATCCATCCCTGTGAGGGTGGGCAGGCCCTGGCACAGGGTGCCCAGAGAAGCTGTGGCTGCCCCTGGATCCCTGGAAGTGTCCCAGGCCAGGTTGGATGGAGCATCCCCTCCTGCCCTAAATCTTTCTTTCCTGACCCAAAATGCTCCTCCCACACACACACACCTTGTGCCAGCAGCACGATCCCAACGTGTTGGTTTTTATAATTTATTAGCAGGACAATCTGATTTAGGCCCTGCTGACAAATGGGATGTTGTATTCCAGGAGTTTATCCCCGGGGAACAAATAAACAAACACAGCGCTGGAAACCTCATGAATTTTTTAAAGAGCTTATCAAAACCTTTTTTTTTTCCCCCTTTTCCCACAGGCACGGTGGCTGAAAGGGGAAATATCCCCTCCATCTGCATTCCCAGCACTTCTTTCCCCTCCAATCCCTTAATCCTCTTCTTTCCAGCTCTAATCCACACGGTTGCCTCTTTCTTGTTTGGTTTTTTATTAATTCCCCCCTCTCCAAATAATCACAAAACCAACACCGAGACTCCAGAGCTCCGTGTCCAAACTCCCGGCTCCGCGAGCATCCACAAAAGCCTGAGCATTACATCATCCCAATTCCTATTTTTCCCCTCTTTTTACCCCAGAATGACCCCGGATTTGCATCCCCCGGGGCTTTTCTTGGGATTGCAGGCAGCGGGAATTGGAAATCCATCACCGGGAGAGGCGCTCCCCCATGGGGACATCGCTGTCCCTGGAATCCTAATGAGTTAATTAAGGAAAAGCAGGGCAGGAGAGGGGCCAGTCCTCGGGAAATTCATGGGAGAGGCTCAGGAATTCCCAGGAAAAGCCTTCAGCAGCTCCAGGGGGATCGCAGGGTGTTGGATTTTCCCGTTCCAAAGAGAGGATTCCCAAAATTTCCCCCGCAGCTGCCCCGTCCTTTCCTCGCATGGATCTCCTGCCTCCAACCCCTCCAGATCCCAAAATTTGTCCCTAAAAGCAATTCAAACCCATCGGGAAAACCACTCAGCTCCTTTTTCAGTGATTCCTGTCCAGGTTGTACCGCTGGAAAATGAATGTGGGAAGGAAGAGCACAAAAGGCCAGCAGGAGCTCATTATTCCACAAATTTCCTGATTCCTTATTCCCTCTCCTGCCCCACATGGCTCCAGGTGGAGCAGAGGCACCGAGAGTGTAAAGTTTGCTAATTATTGACTTTTAATCAGCTGATAAATTGGGTTTTAATCCCTGATAACTCAGCCCAGCTCCCCAATCCGGGAAAACCAGGATTGCAGGGATATTCCACCTGCATTTTCCACTATGGAAGGTCAGCAGGGATATAAATCCATCCAGAAATGAAATGAGGCTCCTTATCCTGCCCTTCCCTGGATGTCATTACACTCATAATCCAGACCTGGAAGCACAAGCACAGCCTCATCCTTGGGAAGGAGGCAAAACCTCTGGAAAAGCTCTGGGATGCTGCTCCAGCATCTGCCACTGGAATGGCAGGGACCAGCAGGACAGAAACTCCCTTTCAGCTGAAAAAAAGTTGAATTTCCACTCCCAAAAGGCCCCAAATGTGGCTTCAATCCCAAAATTAGTTTTCCCACACCCCCAGCTCGTTATGGAGCAGAGCACAACAGCAGCAGGCATCCCATTTAAACTGGAGATTCTGACCTTTCTGCTGAGGATCTTTCCAGCCATCCTGTTTCCAGCTTTTTTTATTTATTTTGTGTGTGTGCTGGCACTTCCTAATCCTCCAAATGAGATTGGATGCAGCTTTTTCAATATTAAAATGCACTGCATCCTCCTTTTCCCGAGCTCTCAGGTAATTAGAAGGTTTTTAAATGCCCACAAACGAGGGATGCAGGGCTGGGGAGGAGGGGATTGTCATTCCAGTGTCCCCACAGGGGTGGGGACCCAGAATTTGCCCTTTTCCAGTGAAATCCACCCCAGTGCTGGGCACTGGGAGCAACTGGCTGCATTTCCCTGGATAAGGCTGGTGCCAGGAACCTCCACAATCACTTTTGGCTCAAAACCCAGCGTCCCTGACGCAGGGATTTATCTGGGGACACTTCAGGCCAATGTCAAAAGTCCCTTGCCAATAACCTCGATGTTTTTGGGATTAAAACAACCCTGAAAACCCTGCGGGATTGGGTCCTTCTGGTGCAGCATCGCTGGGAGCAGGGGTTGGGAATCACTTCCATTGCACCATGGCCCATAAGGACCATTCTCCTTTTCCATAAGGAAAATAGATTTGCTGTCCCAGGAGGGTCCTGGGAAGGCAAACTTTATTCCAACAGATGGTGATCCCATTAAGACAGGGATCAGGAATTGCATCTGGAATTGCAAACACCCTCTAAGGAGCTGCAGAGGGAGGGGATATCCCTGTTTTTGGAAATACAAGGAAGAATCGCTGGGTTTGAGGGGAATATGGGTGAGTTTGTAAAGCCCTTGGGCAATGGGATCCACTGGCCCAGCTCATGGGAGGTCTCATCTCCCCTCATTCCCGCAATTCCCAGAGTTTATCCGGAGGGAGGGAGCGCTGCGTGGCCGGACACAATCCCGGGAGGATTAAAACAGCACAATCCAGCTCCTCATCCCCAGGCTGGCCCTGAGGCAGCATTCCCTGAGCATTCCCAGCCTGGTTTCCTATGGAAACGAGCGCCGCGGTCCAGCCGCGGGTGGCTCCGGGCACAGGGATGTGAATCCCGCATGGATCCGCCCCTCCAGGAATGGGGATCCCCGCAGGATGAAGGAACGCCCGTGGATGTGTCGGACACCCCCCGTCCTCCTGGCACCAGGAAAAATCCAGCTCGTATCCCTGGATGTGGCTTTGGGAGCGGAGATTCCCAAAAATCTGGGAGAAGGTGCTGCCCTAATCAGCTTGAGGAGTTTCATCTGGAGCCCTTTGGAATTCTGTGCTCACCTGGAGGGACTCGTTGTGTGCCACAGCCGGGAATGCTGAGGGATTGGGATCACAGCCGGGAATGCTGAGGGATTGGGATCACAGCAGAAGGAAATGAGGGTCCCAGCTGCCACCAGCATCCCCTAAAATCCTCCCCAGCGATTAAAGTTGGCAATAAAAGGGGTGGGGAAAAAATTCCCGCTCAAGTTAATCCCTTTTAAGTCGCAATTTTTTTATTCTCAGGCTCAGGAAGTTTTGGAATTAATTTTTAATTGATCTGACAGCATCCAAAAAAAAAAAATCCACATACGCAAACAAATATACCCACAGATATATCCCGTGATATATTTCTATGTCTATTTATTTTGATATATTTAGCTATGATATAGTTATTTAGA